TCTGCTTGGCTTCATCATATTTCACTTGTCCATCAACAATGAAACCTTGAAACTGTCAGTCTGAGCGAAGTCATTAGATTGCCTCCAAAAAAGGAAATTGTAGAGCTTTGTAAAGAATTTTGTTATTACTCTTCCTTAGTGGCAGAGATGTCATTCTGTTCGTTTTTTCTGACAATTTAATAAGAAAATCTGTCTCAATATAAACCGAGAATACGAAGAGAACTGTCAGATGAACATAAGACGATGTTGAAATGAAATGAAAGATGTTTGATCAGGAAAAATGCTTCTGACCATTGTGCCATTCTGAATGAGTTAGATCGAACTGTTTGCCTTCACTCGTTTCTTTGTTTTGATTAAAACGAACCATTAGTTGTTCTTATCGCTTAAGGTAATATGAGATGACATCTATTGTGGTTTCAATGACATCTTCTATTCATCACTTCTATCTCCCTCATTCTCTCTCTATCTCTCTCTCTTTCACCTTATCTCTGTACTGCATAGTTAATGAAACATTTAAACATTTACTTCTTATTATATAACATCTATTATCATATTGTTATGTATATTCACATGAACAACTCTTTTTCTATTTTGACCTTCTCCCGTTTTTCAACTTCGTCTTCGTCTTCTTATTCTTGTTGAACTTCATTTTAACTACATAAGAAGACACGAGGTCGTCGTTCAGGAGACATTTACACCTCACTGAATATTCTGACTTGAATGGTATTCAAAGAGAAAAGCTCCCATTAGATTGTTTCTCGAGACCTTCTCATCCAATTATAAATTCAATCTTTATTTTACCCCCATTTAAGGTCTTTCACCTTTGCTTGAAGCCTCAGGCAAGAAGTTTGGTGGCAAGCTCATATGTCTCATCTCATTTGCTTCACTTCCTGTCTCATCGTCACTTCTACTCATTCCTCCGCAATCGAACTGTACGCCTATCTCCTAGTCTCTCAAACGAAAGCAAAATTTAACGGAAATTTCTTTCAATTGGAGAAAAGAGAGACTGACTACTACTTTTAGTTATAAGCTACAACATGGACTCAGGATAATAAGCTGAAATCCAGCTTGATTCTTCCGTGTGAACGCTTTTACTACAACCTGGGTTGTGAAGAACAAATTGTCAATAGCATGTCATCCGACTTGTTTCTTTCACTTTTAAAAGCTTTTTAATCCTTCTCAGAAGTTTTTTTTTCTCTCTAAGATATTTTCACTGCTGAAAAGAGTTTCAGTGGCATTCTCAAGGATGAGGCTTTCAGATGAGTTGTTGTTGTTGTATAAGATGTTTTATTATATAAACTATATTATTACCTTGACCAATATCGTTTTCCACTTTTATGTACTCTCGTCTCGCTTAAACCAAACATGCTTCTATGAAGTATTTTCTCTATTTGGCACAATGAGGTCAGATGAGTTGAAGGTGGCAGTCCGTTGACCCTATTTTACTTATAAACTTATTCTTTGATATTTGAAGTTTCGTCTTGAGTTCAAAGATTCTCTTAAAGCATATCTTTTTTCAGAAAAAATAGGTGGCTAGAGCATATTTGGATGAGTCTCATAAACGCTTCTTTCGTTTACCTCCTATTCACCACCTCTCTAGTAGTGAGTTTGGAACTCTGTATACTTATTCACACTTCTAACAGATACTGGTTAATTGTAACTTCGATGATAATGAGATACTGGGACAGCCTGTCATCACGTGTGAATCTGATACTATTGATATGCAGTTCCGAACACGCAGGCCTTTCACAGGTATACATTAACTACACATGTCAAACAACTTGTCCACGATTCAAGGAAAAGTATTTGTGAGAGGAAATTACAACAGACCAGAGTGCAGAGTCGATTATGGCAGAAGGACAGTCGACGGCCGACCGTTGGGAGGAATTCGTTTGAATCATGGAGCTTGTAATATGGACCGTCAAAGGATGGTAAGACACTCAATTGAACGTTCAAAGGTTGTGTTTCACGTAGTTGACGTGATACGCTAATTTGATGTTGGTCATTTTCATTTCTACTTATTGTTCATGAGAGAGCGGTTGATCTTGAACAGGGAATAGATGATTAGGGATGAAATTGCTTTTTCCAGATAACACCGGAAGGAATGATGTTTTCTACAGTTCTAATCATAAGCTTTCACCCCGTAAGTTGTACACTCTCAGTAATCCTTTTGATTCTACTGATTGAAGTTGTTTGTGACAAAAATGGATAAAGCATATCATATCAAATGTATGTATAAGGAGGCTGTTCGTACTGTGAAAGCTACATTGGACGTCAGGTGATACATTTTGAAATTTCAAATTGCAAAAAGAGGTTGTTACAATGAATTGTGTGAGGATTAGAGAGAAGATAGTTTATCCGTTTTCAAACAACCCACACATGGGAATCATTTGTTTGTATGAGAAATATGTTATTCATAACATTGCTGATGTAAGTTACAAAATTAGAATTATAAATAACAACGTTTAAAATAAATATACTTTCCTTTCGTGCTAGCTCGTTACCAACGGAGTCGATTGCTGCTGATGTTCCTATGCCAACATGTACCTACACGATACGCAAAGATTCATTAGATGGCCCTATACTCCAAATAGCTCGTGTTGGTGATCAAATCGTTCATCGTTGGCAATGTGATTCCGGTGAGATTATCTAAGAGAAGCATAACATTGACGTAAATGATAACTTCATAGATGAATACGGAGTATTAGTTCATAATTGTTTTGTTGAAGATGGACATGGACAAAAGCATCTCATAATTGATGATAACGGGTAAATCATAATTCATCAGCTACTTCCTTCTCATTGCTATATTTAGATGTCACACGGATCGTTTGTTATTGGGTGATCCAACATATGTTGAAGCTCTTAATATGGCCTATCGAGAATCTTTCGTCTTTAAATTTGCTGATCGAATTGATGTTAGGTTCCAGTGTGAGATACGCTTATGTTTGAAAGAAGACGGTGGCTGTGACGACATAACTGTAAGTTCTATCTCCATTGTACATTCATACAATCTACATCAAATTAACAAAATCTAATTTTCAGCCACCGTTATGTGTGGATTCTAATCGACTATTCCCTGAAAAGCCACCTGAATTGAATGTTAATAATACAGTAAGTATCAGGTTTTCGAAACTTCAATAGCGACCGATGTTGAGGTTTCGAGGAGATTACGAAGAGCTACCAAAATTGGAGATTTCATTTCCCAAACAGTTTATGTCATGGACAAAGATGATAGTGAGGATCAGAAAAAAGCTGGTTCGTGAATCAATATGCAAAACCTTCATCCTTTCCTCTATCTCAGTTCTTCCATTGGAAAGTTCTCCTGCTGTTTGTATGGCTCAACGGTCGCTCATTTTCTTAGCGACATGTCTGGCAATGTCTTTAATCATATCGGCAACACTGGGCTTGTATGTGTTACACAAACGATTACAAAGGTTTGAGAATACAGTGTTGACTGTTGGTTACATCACTGGATTTTCAGTCCTTTCCACAAGACTCGATCCAACTACTACTAAAGAAGGAAACGATCTATTCGTGACACTTTCGAAGACATTCTGATGCAGGTTTATGAGCTGTTCAACAGTTATACTTATCCCGTTTGTTTATATTTCATAACCGAATCTCATGAGAAATGCTTTCGCCCTTCTATTGAGGGTGCATTCTTTTAAAAATTATTTTGTACAAAATATATATGTAAGGAAAATTATTTTTTTAAATTATAACACATCTTATTAAATCTTTTTACAAATCAAATTGTTCCTAATAAAGCTTGATACTAGTTGACACTTATGTTTCGACTTCTGACCGACATCTGACGGTTATTGGTTGCTTCTCTGTGGGATGATTGCAATGCGGTTGACTTGTAAGTCTAGAAAGAGAAAATTAACAGTTTCAAGCACAATTGATGTACTTTGATTGGATTTCTTATAAGCTTCAATAGAAATACTCTGTACGACTTCCATATTAATACAGTTGTCATAGAAGATATTATGGAATGAGACGACATCATCACGAAAACTGCGATGTTATAATCTGCAAGCAGGTGTGTGAGGCGAATAATATGTTTGACTCAAACATCCAGATAAGCTTGAATGGTATTGAAATATAGATGACATAGCCAGGTATAAGCCAGGTACACCAAGGAGATATATGGGAAAGATTAGCTGGAAAGAATATTACGGTCCTCAACTGGGAAGAACAATATCTTACTTGATAAAACAGTTTCAATGTAAAAGACCTCTGAAGTCTTCTTGTTTTCTCACTGACTGCAGAATCTGTTACTTTGAAAGAGAGATAGATCATAGTAGTTGAAATCCCAACGCACATAGCTAGATGCAAAGAACGTTTCAATAGAAACTTGATGACAACCAACCGAAATATAGAATGATAAGAAGGCAAAATATATTATTGAAAGTGGTGTGATGGCAAGCATAAACTCCTTGGACTTGGAAAACTGGCCTCATGTACGGAAACTCCTGAAGATTATAGTTTTGAGAGATTTAAGGCTAGTTTCAACCTTCAAGAAAATTTCTTCCAATTCTTGCTCTGTGTCCGGAGCAAGAAGATACATCGAGAAAAATCCAAGGAAGAATGATAAAATGTAAAGCGACCCGCATACTTGGTGGACTCGATCTTTCCTCATAATCTTCAACAAATGCCCGATAGGCAGTACATGTTGATATCTATAGAAAATCGTGCAAACAGTCACACAAGCAGTTTCATACAGAAATCCTATCAGGAAGCACTGAAGAGGAGGTTGACGCAAAGCCAGAAGACGGATTGTCTTACCGATCCAATATAAGAGCTACAAATGTTTTTCATAAATCCTGTACTTATTACAACTATATGTGGGTAGAAGCCAACAGGCTGCATCAAAAAGCCAATGTAGAAATCGTTCACTGCTAAACAAATCTGAAAAACAGATGGATGAAGTGTACGTGTTCTGAATACTAAGACTTACTTGATGCCACAAAATGTAAACCTTAACAGCACCCACTGATTTATCAGTTCTCATATAGATTGTGTACAGGGTGACAGTATTTATCACAACCGATGTTGGGAAAAGAAAACAGTGAAAAGTATGAGAATATTCCAAAATTTGGGGAAAGCGAAAGGTCTCCAGCATATACGCGTCTTCTGCAGTTCTATTGTAGGGTGTATCAATCATGAGGAGTAGTCAAAAGCCGACACTTCAACTCAAAACGTTCTGCTACCTGCTCTAGACACATGAGTGGAATGTTTTCTGCTCAGTATTCCCTTCTTATACTAAAAACTCAACTTGTTTTGCCCTTTCAAGGGGGGAGGCTGAGTTTTCTCTGCTCATGAAGAACAACGTGAATATTTGAGTCTCGATGAAAGATATATGAACAAACGAGTTAATGTGATACTATGTATGCATACAGTGCAGCAGACTGTCCTAAACAATATTATTTCAAACTTTCTCATTAAGTTTTCAACACTATTATGACAAACTACCTCGAGCGCACAACTGTTTCAAAAAAGCAAAGATTGCGCATGGAATGGCCATCACCTTCATTCGGCAATCTAAAGCGCTGCTTTGCGGTCGTTCCTTCTATTCCCTCTAGGTGTACTGTAGAGACCTTCCCACCAAAACTTATAGTTTGCAATCAATTTTTATTTAAAGTCAACCGGGAATTCATTTATTATATTGACATATAGGTTATATTCTCATTTGTTAATGGGAAAGTATTCAACAGAAAAAAGAGATCTGAAATGAAAAACATGTGAACATACACAATTATCCGTATAAGATAAATATTTCTAACGATGCTAATCTTAGTTTATCACGAATGCTGAGGATATGGAACTCCTCGTGTATTCATACTAACCCTTATGACTCATGACAGACGCTAAACAGTGCCCAGAGATGAAGATCAGGAGGAGGACGATCGGACACAAGAGAAGAACTAAGGATGGAAGGTACAAAACCAAGTGATAAGATGAGGATCTATACGATACACTAGATAACATGAAAAGTTAATAGTTTGATGGAAAAAAAAACCAAAAAACGAATTAAAGATGATTAGCTCGTCAGGTAAACAGTATACGTGCCGATCATCAATCCAATTTTATACCGCAGGGGCAACATTAACTTGGTCAGCAAGACTGTTTTTGATTAAGGCCATTAGTTGCTTCTCTTGTGATTGGCATTCAACCACCTGTGTGTATTATGTAAACTACTTGAAAGTTTGAATTTTTAGCTTACCAGGGGATTTAGTGCCATTCTGTTCGCAGCCAAAGAATATACCCGCATAAGAAGATGAGTGACATCAGAGGAAAGTTGTGGAAAGACCTGAACTCATAATCGTATAAAGTATATCGATACTTTAATCAAACCGAATTGATTTCAGCTAACGTCGGCACGATCTTTAAGAACAACTTGACGTTTATAGAAGCCTCACAAAACCTGAACAAAGACTCTAATATTTCCTTTTGAAGAAATTCACCTTAATAGAGTGTGTAGAACATCCAAGATTAAGTCTGTTGAGGCGCATGTAGCTGTGATACGATACTGAAACAGAATTTTAAAATTGAAAGATTCGTTTCAATCGGATCACCTTCTTAGATACATGAATCATAAGGGAGATTCCAAAGATACGACGTTTGATGTCTGGAAGGGACAACATTTCCTAAAACAAACGATTGCACTTTCAAGTGTATATAAAGCAATACCTGTAGGAAATCTCTGGCCACAAACATCGAAGGAACGTCTTCCACGAGATACGGAACCATATGTAACGGGAAGGTCTGAAAGACAGATAAAGAGCTAAACAGATTAGAACTAACCTGGAACAACACTAGTTTCATTATGTTTTTGTCCATTATGAAAAGTTGATGAATGTACTCGCAAGCTATCTTTCTCACCAGCCTCCTTCTCTTCAGAGCAGACGGTGTTTGTTCGTCTGTTAATGAGTTAGATTGGTCTCTTGACTTGTTGTATACAGTAGTACCTTGCATACGTTTCGGGTCCGACACCTCGATCAGCAGTTGTATTAACAGAGATCCTCTAGTGTGGTCTACAGCTATAGAGAGAACATCTCGTTCTTGTCGTTCTACTTCACTGAAAGCATGATTGTTGTTTGGGATGTGTATGTATGAACTCACTTCAACGAGCAGTTGGCCGTGTGAACGCTTCTCATCAACAGATTCTTACTCGCAGCAGAGAAAAAGGTTAACATTCTTATGAAACACGAAAAATGTTTTGGAGAGCTCAAAATTCGCCTGCAAATTTCCGGACTATGAATACGAACGGAGAAAGTTAAAACCTATCACATCTAAAGAGCAAAGTAGGATACTCGTATATATCTGCGAGTGACATTTCCTTGTTCTGTAAGCAGCTTACCCAACTGAGACAAGATTTCTGTTGATCGATACTTAGGAGAAGTAAAACCCAATATTCGAACCTCATACAACATTCTAGGTACGACGTTTTCTAAACGACTCCACAGAGTAATGACACTATCAACGTTGGGTAAGAGAACATCTTTGTCTAGAGATTTCCGGAAGAGCTCCACAATGAAAGGTAACTGTTTAACCTACAAAAATTATGGTACACAGTTATGAGTGGCGAACAAACCAAATCGGAAAGCAGAGAGGCATCCAACACTTTCAATATTCTTCCTATTTCGTTCCTTTTCAGCATTCCGAAGTACTGAAAACCAATAATCTTCTTTCAGACACAATGAGTTCAAACCTCATCCGTAGTAAATGGGAAAGACATACCGCCTCCAGGGGCACGAGCTATTTTAACACTGTCTATAGTAGGAAGCATGTACGGGAATATATCAGTAGCTAATCTCATCTAGAAAGTTACTGCTTAGAAGATGATGATAGTTATCCTTACTATTGATGTTCGGCAAGAAGAGTAATTTGTTCCTCGACACTCTACTATACTCAACAAGAAACGAATAGGAATGCTACTATAAATATCACGGAAGAAGTTCTGAAAGGAGATAAATGAAAAGTTTTGTTAACACGGTTGACATACATCTACAGCTCCAATAGCGAGTTGATCCATTTGAGAACGGTAAGATAGTAGGTAGAGTAAGGTTACCACTCTTGCAGTGAGCACTGTTTCGCTCAAAATATCTCCTTCGAACAAATCCTGCAAAACATCTTCTGATTATCTCTTGGAAAAAAAGACTTACATCAATGAACTTCTTTCTTAATCCTGAACGTCCTGCTCGAGCAGATTCAGCTGCAAATCTCTCAACCACCTCAGAAAGGACATTGTGAACGGGGACAGAAGAAGCCATTATCTGATTTTCTAACCAAGGCTATAGAAAGTTGAACATGATTATTGGAAAAGTGAGATTTCAACTTACTCCTAGATCAACATTGAACCTAGCGAACGTTCCTGAGCATAGAAGATCGTGTACAGAATGAATCGGGGAACGACCAGAGAACTCAGAGTTCAAGTTCACACTGACCGGCAGAGTAGCACATCTTTAAACAACCAATAAAACTATATAAATAAATTGCCTCAACCTGGTGGCAAGCTCGCACTCAGATAAACATGATGAGAAGAAAGTTGTTCTCAATAGCTGAACTTGACGAGGTGGGATAGTTATTTTAGTTTTGAAGATATTTAGAAGGAAAGTTTTCAGAAAATCTGTTCTCAATCCACTAAGACATACTCCAACATATATAACCGTAATCCGAAGGGATTCTCTATGTTCCTTCGTGATCTCCTGAACAGTATATGAGAAATGAAGGTATGGAGTAACGTACGATAGCGAGATGTTTCAGGAAGGCCACAATCATTTCATCCATCCTGTTAACCGGCAATTGATTTTGAGGAAATCTGTTTTGATATAAGTTATGTATTTTGGCAAAACCACTTACGAAGTCAAGCTAAGAATGGCGAGTAGAGAAGCTAATGCAAACTCTAAGTAAGCATCGTCTTCAACGTTAACCCGACATATCAAAGAGCACAAAATATTCAGTTGCTCCGGAGAAGGTTTCAAGCTGCAATTATTTTGTATCGTCATCAAACTTTGCAAGAGGGTCAAGTATGGTTGTTTATCATTCCTGAAATGAAGGAGCATAACTAGATCATGAAACACAACAAAATACTTTTCGACTATCCTAGATGCCATCTTATACAATCTATCATGTAGAATGGTTAAAGTAGATCGGCTTGAAGCTTTAGAAAGTGTTTGAACAAGCTGAGTACTTTTGTTCCATGTAAGAGGTAAGATGAAATTCAAAATAGCCTCATCATCTAAAAACTGAGCGGCAAGCCTCACTGTAATATATGGATAAACTCAATATGGATCAATCAAGATATGAACCTGCTAATAAGCAATCTCTTTTCGAAGATGCCATATCTCTGAGAATTGATAAATGTATACGAGGACATAACTCAAACAACTGAAAACACAGAAAGGTAAGAAAAATTTTGACCAAACAACCTGAGTCAATAAAACACCTTTCTGTCGTCCTATAGAAGATTCTTCACTAACTTGTAAACCCATCAGGATGTTTAGCACTGGATTGAGTAATTCGACTGAATTCATCAACATCTGAAGATCAAAAATAAAAACAAAAATAGAACTCATTCCTTACTGTTATAAGAAGCTGAGGTCCGTTCGGAAATGAGAGCGATTTCAACGTGATCTTTCCGAAAGGTAAGAGATGAGGGTAATTTATGTATCCAAGAGATAACAGCATAGCCGCATCAGGAACTTCATCGTCACTGATGAAACCAGCAGGGAACTCATCTTTTGAAGCTATAAGAACAGAAGAATAATCAAAAATATTATACGCAAAACTTACATTCATTAAAAAACCTAATCACCATTGCGAGTTTAGTGATATCGTCAACTTTACAGAACGGAATATTGAAACCGCCCTCATGACTGGTCTGGAACTTCTCTTCGAACTCAGTACGATTTTGTCTGATAAGCGTTAGAATTCTGTTTCCTTCGGGGAACTGACATAATCTAGCAAGCAACTCAGGCTGAAGCAAACAATTAAATTAATGTGAATTGATAACGGACACTTACAAATACATCACCTGAGGCATCATTATGGAAACATGAGGATATCAAGAATGGCAAAAATACTTTGAGCTCATCGTCATCGAAGTTGTTAATAGTGTCCCAAAAAGTACCATCTTGTAAAGAACAAAACAACGGTGATAACTTTCCCAAGTTCAGTGCCATATCTTAAAAAGACTAATGTAGACAGTGGGAGTTACCGACAATCAAGATGAACAACCGTGCGCATCGCACGAACAAGAATAAATGAAAAAAAAAATTTCACGGGTATTCACGTGGAACACTTACGTGACATAAATTACATTCAAATTGAACTTTCAAGGGATTTTTGAATAGGATGAAACATGTTAAATGAAAACATTAAGGGCATTGTGCAGGAGTTTTATCAAAACCTTGTAGAACGTCATAACAAAGTATTGATTGATTAGGTTATGATTCGCCAAAATCATTAACACTTACCGATGATTAGTTCACTCGGAAGCTGACTTTCTAATTTATGCTGTAGTTGGCATTGCTATACGTCTCAATGCTTTTTTTGAAAACACAGAATACGTCAATGCGACCATTGCGTAAAGCTCTTTTCAATTTATCCAAATTCATTTAATCTTTATTTTACTTTCAATACAGTTTCATATGTAAAACTTTTTAAGGAGATGCCATTGAGAAGGGTCACATTCAGTGGAAGACTTGGAGCTTTCAATGAGGGCGAAGATAAAAGGAAAATCTTCGTGAAAGGAGTCGTTTTCATGTGTTTGGACATTTCTATCACTCTTGCCATATCAATCGCCACTTTCTACTTGTTTGTTAAGTGAGTATCTATTCTCCAAGATTAATCTTCCATCATTATCATTGTAGAAAAGCTGTAGCTCCTTATGAAAATGACTTTCCTTGCTCTGACGAGTCAATACAGAAGACTTTTAAACCCAACACGATTGGCTTGAAACACTTGCTTTTCGTGTCCTTAGGCTCTCCTTTCTTCCTTATTTCAGCTGTTGAAGGTTTACTCTTCTTCAAAGCCCAGGTAAGTGTGTTATTTTTATATGAAACAAGGCTTCCTTGTTAGGGAACCAATCGACTTGCCAAATACTTCACATCAACAACTTTGACCTATCTGAAATATCTTTTAGCTTACGCATTATGTACCTTTACTATGGAATTCCTTAAGGTTTGTTTCCTATTCCCTATTCCTTAAATGCATGCTCCATTTAGTGTTGGTTCGGACGTTTACGTCCTCATTTTGTTGCTGTTTGTCAACCTGATTGGACTAAAATGGACTGCTCCACTGATCCCAGTGCTATAATTCCTGGTCTGTATCATAAGCTTCTTGTTGTTCATTGAAATTTTCAGCAAGCGACATAGTTTGTCTGAACTCAGACTTCCACAGAGTGAGGACTGCTAGAACTTCGTTTCCTTCCGGACATACAGCGGCCGCTGTCTTTGTTTGGTTGTTCTATACTTTCTATTTGATCAGGTATGTATTGCTTCGTTCTCGAGTCTCTTAACTTTTTTGGTTTAGGATGAGTAGAATAAGCAATGTGGAATTGGTAACCAAGATGAGAAATATTATTCTGCCTGCCATTACTGCATGGACTTTGCTCACAGGTATTACAAGAGTAACTGATAATTGGCATCATCCTACTGATGTGTTAGGTAGGTCTTACACTCGAACGATTCAGAACAATAAGCTTTTCAGGTGGCATCATATTGGCTCTTGTTTGTTTTGTGCCATTATATTGGAAAACATGGGTTAATGCTTCTTCTGTTTATCAGCGACGCGAAATATTCGAAGCGAAAAAATCTGAATGAGGTGGTATTTCATCTTCGACGACTTTCATTCTTGTTGTTCAATTGCATTTTGTTAACTCTTAACTGTGATATATATTTAAATTAAATTATATTTCCATACATTCGAAGTTGATATTCAGGTTTCAACCTTATACATACAGTGAACTTCTCTTGCTTTCAAACCTTTTTCGATTTAGAATGGATGATTCGGGGGTTGACATTAAGGATGCTCAAAATACTTTCCTCGAAATTCTCAATAAGTCCGTCTTTTCCAAATCATTCCAATGCTCATGCAATTCATTCAGATTGAACGGGAAGTCTGTACCTGCTTTCCTCAATTGGGTGACTTCTTCATTCTCTATGGAAAATGAAGAACAGAAACCGAAATACATTAGAGACGCCAACGCCCATATTGCTGCCATAGCTGAGCACTTGAGACAAAAGGTTTTTTTTTCTCCAAACATGCCAAATTGTTTCTCTTCAGGTCCCAACCAAAGGTTATCTTCAATCCGAGAAAATTGCCTATCCAAAAGTAGGATTGGATGCCGAATGCAACGACTCTAACACCGTCTGTTTCTCCTTTTAAGGACATTACGTGATTTGTGGAAGTTTCAGATTCACGTTGATTGTTTCCTTTTCGATGAAGAAGCCGTTGAGGACTTAGTTCAGGAAGGAAAAATTAGCAGGTTTTGTTGAGCTCCTATACTAATTCGTCATGTCGATTGAAGGAATTATTGTTTGGATTGTGGGTCGAAAAATACGAAGCCTCTTACATTCATTAGTCACAGTCTTGCACCTACACAGGTAGGGTGTATTGAAAAGCTGTTGTAGTTGCAACTTGTTTCAGCTGGAGTTTATATTCACTAAGCTTGTGCCCTTAATAAAGAAACCTCAAGATTTCAAAGTTATTGACATTGGATCTCGTCTAGGCTCAGTAATCTTTTCTGCTCATTACTTCAGGTATGAATGGAAATCAAGAAGTTCATAAGTCTTGTTTTCAGTGCCGGAAGCTCTTGTGTAACAGGAGTCGAACTGAACGAAGATCTTTGCAAAATCCAAAAAGAAGTTGTTGAAGAATTCAATTTAACGGTTTGCTAAGATTTCAAGGATTAATCTTTGTCGTTTTAAGAACGTCAATGTTATTTGTTCCGACATTCGAAATCAGCCTGAGGTTATTAAAGATGCTGATTTAATAATTATGAACAATGTGTTCAATTTCTTCATGGAACTAGGAGATCAAGTTTGTTTTCACTCAACTTCATATTCTGACATGAGTACATCTTCAGTTATCGTGTTGGCAATTCCTTCATGATAATGTGAAGCCCGGGTGCTTGTTGATTCATCATCCCAGTGTCTACGAAGCTGCTTCTCATCTTACTCTGCCCTTTGATATATCTGAATGGCTTGAGGAAGTATGAACCTTTCTAGGCTGCTATCTCATAATTATCTTTTTCGCAGATCTCAATTACTCGGAAATGTGCAGAATTCGCAGGAGGTGACGAAGAGCTCTTCATGGACTGCAAGCAACTGCATTTCTACAAAGTCCGTTCTAGGAATTGAAATATTAGATTGTTTTTGTTTTTGATTCATTCTGAGGAGAGAGTTCACACTCTCGCTCCTTCTCCTCATCTCATTGGACCCATGGTCATTTGAAAGTTTGAACTTCTTGAGTTGTTGTTGTTGTTGTTGGATTGTTCAAGAAAGTTCAAATTAAACAATTTATTATTACATATAGAAGACTCGTATGAAACACAAGCATCTGAATGAGATTCAAAAAACTCAAGCTTAATAGCCTGAAAACCCGAGATAGTCACAGAAGAAGTAATAAGAGACGAAGTGGCGTAGGTGAGATTCAAATTGGAAACCTGATATTCGGCTTAATTGACATCTTTGAGATAGTAGAGATAGATGGTGCAGGAGAAAGAAAGAAACAGACGGATCGTTTCATAATAATTCTAATAAAAATAAGATCTATGTGTGTCTGTTAGCTTGGTTTCTCATTGAGGTGGTATAAGCCTCTGCTTCTCAAGCTGTTCCAATTGAGTTGCTTTCTCGAAGTCCCATCCGGGGGTTTTGTCATCATCGGAACTTGATTTCGTCCTAGTTTTTTCTACTGGAAGAACTACAATGGTTCGTTCATTCGATTTTTCATTCCTTAAAGTCTTTCATAAGGGGAAGTCGGCTCGGATTAAGCACTTACTCATTTTTTTCCTGCTTGTGGCGTATGGAGCGACCATCACTTCCATAGATTTTGGTTGTATTCTGGATGGTTGTGAAAGACGACGGAGCACAATAGCTGACATCCTGAAAAGACAATAGTTTTATCTTCATCAGAACATTTTTATAAGGATATGTAATTAATTTTTGCAAAAGAGTAAGTCTTCAGTTGCAAAGTGTGCTTCCTCTTCTGACAAATTCACTCTCATTGAAAGAAGGTTTCGCAGTCGTTTTTACTAGTCAAAGGATGTGTCAACAAATACTTACTGGATCAGAGCCCAAATTGGCGAGCCTGTATATGGAAATGCCACAAGCTGTTGAAAGAACAAGCTGACGGCAAGATTTTCTGAATCGCTTTCCCCATATAATGAAAACCCAAAAATTGCTGGAACAGTTCAGAACAATCAAAAAATTGCTGACGTCCACGAAAAGAGAAGCTAAAGGGCTTCTCATGAAAGCTTGTTGACCCACTAACTGCAAATGAGAAAAATAGTAAATTTTAAGGAAATTGAATGAATTTACATGTTCAAGTACATCGATCACAGTCGGCAGAATATCGGACACTAAGAATTTGGCAATAACGAGTACCAACATAATGTTTGATTTATGTTCTTTCTTGGAGTTGACCCTGAAGTGTAAGCCTTTGATGAGTTGAATCATTTGAAAATATTTTACCTTGCTGAATGACATTTCTTGCTTCTGACGTCGACTTCAGCATTGGGAGCACATAAAGACTTTCTATAACAACATCAGAACGTTCACGACTAGTTCGCTGTAATTACCTTTTTGCTATTGCTGTTCTCAAGGCTAATGATATTCTTAAAGTTAAGGCGAATAGTAATAAGCACGGGCATAACGTCACAAACAACATGGCTAGTATTATATGATAAACAGTCCAATATATTTTATTCTGAAATAATATTTTTAAGGAAGTAAATGTATTCCCGGTCATCTTTCATGCAGACATAGTGTCAAACGTGAACTCTGCGTGACGTGATTTTCACGTGAATCACGCCATTCCAAACAAAATTTAAGTCAAAAGCGGTTGCATTCTTATATTTCAATTATGTTTTGAATACTAATTCACACTCAAATTTCAGTTGTTGTTCAAAAAACTTACGTCAAACAAAGAAGTTCTATCAATTCCGATGTTGATTTCATTCTGCTGGTTTGTGAAAGTGATAACTTCGACCTTAACATCCAAACATAGGTTATGTTTCAATAGTACAATGATTTACCTCGAAGAAGCGTGGAAGTGAGAACAAAACAGCCAGAAGAGAAACTATAACCATAAGCCTCTTTACCCGACTGAAATATAGAATGTAATTGTGATAATGAAAGTATATAAGCTGTATGAGTTTAGCGTAGGCGGAAGGATAAGTGACTCAGAGAATTATGGAAATTAAGAAATTCAAAATTTGCTTCCATTTTAATTACTTGTATTTGTATTTTATTTCTCTTTGAGACGGTAGCAAAGATCGTAAAGTCGAAAAGATGAAGGGATGGTATGGATTATCTGCAACAATCTCCTCAGATGAAACTAGAAAATAGCTTTTGGCTATTCGTTCACACCACTCTAATAATGAAGAAAAAACGTTTTTTTAACAAAGTTTTAAGATCGTTCGGAAGTAAATTAACAATTGGGGCAGCTCACGAGGTTGTCAGATGCGCTTGATGAATACGTCAGAAGACCATAAGAATTAAAAAATAAGGAAAATACTTCCAAAGACTGAACTCATCTATCAAGCGAACTCGTGGCAGAGTCTATTTGGATAAACTTCTTCCCCTCTTTTTCCAAGAACTTAGAAATTCAAAACAAAACTTGTGTTCCGTAAGGATTAATGCAAGATGGCCTTTTCCATTTTTTTTGGAGAAACACATAGATGATGATATGATTATAGATAATCGCGATCGCAAATTTGTTTTTTGTTTTTTTAAATGGAACTCTGATGAGTTGAGTACATACAGTTCTATGATATAAACAAGAGATGTACCTTTTCTTTCCGATTGCTCTGTGCTTCAATGGCTGGCACAATGCCAGATATCTATCAATTGTTAATGTGAGAACAATCCATACAGATCCTGTATGAGTAGTGTTGGCAAAAGTATATACGTAGGGATAGATATGCACATAGGTACCTTGATTGGTTGAGATTGATATGAGATTCAATTAGAAGGTAAAGCTTACCTGTGGACACTAAATGTCCAAACAGAAGATGTGGCAATGAGTAAAGAAGAAACGCATTGGCTAGCAAGGCTGTCTGCCACATGGTTAATGTTACCTGCAATAATTTTATTTCCTCTTTCGGAAAAACAAACTATTTCAAATTCACATTAGAGAAGAGAATAACAATTTGAAAAAACTTTTCGACTTTAAGAAGAAAATTGAGAAAAACAAAAAACTTACCAAGTAATATTGAATTGCTGGTGTACCTCCACGCTCACATCGTAGGAAGATGTAAATTGAGAATATGTTAAGGACGATTCCTGTGAAGACGAAAAAAGCCGTCAGGTATCCGTTAAGTAGATGAGATAGCATTTGTATCAAATAGACTAGAATGGAATATCCCGAGAACGATGGTTGACTATCTTCGGACTGGGCAGCCATTGCTGCCTGAGGCTATCTGCAAGAAAAATAGATGATTAAAAGGATTTATGTTGTGGTATATGTGTATGTGCACACTCGGATATTTTTGAGATTTTCAATGAAATAGAATGAAACAGAATAATATAAAAAGAGCTTTTTTTTAAGTTTCTCAAGGAACGCACAAAGAGAGAGAGAGATTGAAAGGGAAAGAGAAACAGAGAAAGAGAGAGAGAGAGGGAGAGGGAGGGAAAGAGCAAGAGCAAGAAAACATTCCCAAACGTGTTTAGTAAGTATATAGACATAAGCAATAGTTTATTGTTAAGTTTTCGAATATTTTCATAATTAAGCGGAATAGATGGAGAGGACGTTCGAACGGGGACTTCCGAACAAAAATAAGAATTTGGGAAGCTTCATCATCATCATCATCATCATCATCATCATCTGCTACAACTACGACTCCATCTCGAGAGTCATATAAGCGTTAATAGAAGAACTGAGACAAACTTGTCCCTACAACATGGGCTAAGAGTACTTCGACCTTTTGTTGCTTCAGACGTAATTTATAAATAGGAGAAAAGGTTAGTTTAATGTCCATAAAGAGAGTTCGTTTTGATGGAGCAATTTACTGTTCTGCCCGTCTCATCATGGCTGTCTCTCTGGTGCACAATCCCGCAAGTCAGCAGGACAATTGCTTCGAAATTAACAGAAACGGCAACAGCCAATGAAATGAAGAATAAAAAAACGGAGAAACGTGAGTTTAATCGCCCAATGTGAGTCTTATCAAAATCCATATAAGCTGTAATGTGAGAAGAAAGCAAAAAGAATCTTTTTTTTTTGAGATGGTAAAGAAGAAGAGAGAGATGGATAGAGAGGGAAAGAGGGAGAGAGAGAGATAGAGAGAGGTAGGATAGTTATTTTCCCTCCTATTCCCCAATCTGAGATATAAATAAACACGATTTCTGGCTTCATATCAAACGTTAGAATGAAAGAAGCTATATGTAACTGTCTTGCTCTCTCTCATCTCCCTCTCAATGTTTCTCAATCTCCCTCTCTCTCCCTCTCAAAGCATATTTTCTTTCATTAATTTCTGATTATTTAACATTTACCTTTGTGGGCTAAACCACAATACATCATACAACGCTGTGTCATTAGCTTGATGAAGTAAGATCTTATGGGTTGAGAACGAGACGTCTTCGTCTATTGTGATGTTTCGAAAAGTTAGAATGAACATTCTTCCAAATTAATTATATTTGAGATTTCATATGGCATTCCTGCACATGATGCTTGGTCTCTAATCCACAAACGAATTCTCTAATTTGAACTAAAAACTTGTTGGAAAATTGAAAAAAGGCAATCCGAACAAGCCTCATCCTCATATGAACTGAGACACAATCATTCTGTTTGAATTAGCATAATGAGTATAATTAATATAGTAAAGGCATCAGATGTAGATGTTTGCTTGTGAATCTCATCTAGATTTCCCCAGATAGATATACAGATAGAGCAAGATAGACATAACACCTTCTAACTTCTCGTACTTGAAGAAAGCCATTAAAGTACACAACAACGACCTTCTCCATAAATTAATAATTTAATTTTTCATAAAATATGAATGAAGAGTTTCTTTTTGAGAATTAGAAGAAGTAAAGCAAGACAAGCCATAAACGACATTCAACTTCTTCTCACACAGAGAACAACATAATCAATTAGTTAAGATTAATGTGTCACATTGGAAAACACTCTCTCGCTTTCTCTCTTGGTGCTTTCCAGCTAATTTTAACTTTCAATGAATTCGTGGAATAGACCTTTCATTCACTAGATGAATACAACTTCAAAGGCTTTAATCCAATTGAGAATTTCCAAAAAATATATGTTTTAAAAAGGCAATAAGTTCAAATATCATTCGGATCAATACGTTCATGCAAATAAACAATAATTAAGCTTCATCTACCAGTATGGTGCTTTTCTCCTTCTTCGTCTTCATTTCCATCGTCTGCTGTTGCTTTCTACATCTCTTTCTCTTTCTAGTTCTCTGTTCGTCTTTTCAAAACTCAATAATTTCTTATTTCCTATCAACTCGCAACAGCAGAATTTGAATACGAAACATCTCACGTTGACATGACGTGGATACGTGAACATCTACGTGATGACTTTTTGCGTTTCATTTTCACGTTATTTGACGCGACTGAACGGCTGCATTGAGCTTTTTCTCATTTTCATCTTCTCGAGAAGCTTATGTCACATATTTCAGACAAAAAGAGAAGTAACACACATATTTGAACTTGAAAATCTTTAAGTTAGAAGGGAAATGAAAATTAGGCTTAAGCTTCAAACTTAAAGCTGTAAATGACAGTTATGTGTTACATCCCACGCTTCATCAAACAAACGATTTTTGGAAATATCTCAAATTACTACTTATGTTCAAGCAAAGAAAAAGAGTTTTTTTCAAGCGGATCTGAGGGGTATTATTTGTTAAAATTTCAAAAAAGGCTTTAACACAACTGTTAGTTTAAGCTGGCAGATCATACTTGTCTCATTACTACTTGTAGCATTACGAGAGATTAAGGCCTAATATGCAAATTTCTTTCTTTTTTTTCGTATTTAAATCGGCATGTTAGTGAAAGCGGAACTGATATTAAAAATTCAAAAACGATGAATTAGGATAGTCGAGCATGGTTTGGTCGACTCAATCACATGGTATTGAGACATTGACCATAGAATGAGAAAGTACATGAAACTTGTGATTTTGATGAAGAACTTCGAAAGGTGTTTGCATGTTTTCCCAAAAACGAAATTTGTGAAATTCAGGTGGGTCTGATGAACAGTCGCATATCTCCTCATGCATAAAGTATACTTCTGACTTCAGAATCTTAACAAGAAAGCTGCAGAGAGACAATATAATGGTGAGAGGGAAGGCAATAGAGAGAGAAAGAGAGTCAAACAAATAAAAGGAGCGGTAAGAGGAGGAAGGCGGAGGAGTGTTGCTTTTTTTGGATAAAAACCATTATGAACTTGTAAGCTCTAGCTAATTTCTGGAATGAAAAGTATTGGGATGGAATGATTTGATGAAGATGTGACATGTGCGAACTTCAGTTTGAAATCTTTCATTTCCTTTTTTTAGTGTCTCGCTTTCCAAAAACAGGATGCTCTGACATATGGAAATTGAATTTGAAATCCAAAAAAGAAAAAAAAATTAAAATAGGAAAAGAAATTAATTTGGACATGAGAAAATAAAACAAAAGTCAAACTTCATACACGTTTCGGAAACAGAGCGAACGATTGTCTAACATGAAGATGGTATATGGTGAGAGACATACTATCCTTTAAAGACGTTCGTTCCCCCGCATCTTATATCAAAATATGATTGTCTCGGGGGAAAATTCAAAAAATCGTCAAAGTTCTGGTGCTCAGAAGCCCGAGAAGACAATTGGTTGGTAAATTGGTTATGTAAGTGGGTGGGTGGCATAAAGGGGGAAAGCTTGAAGGCCATCTAATGGTGAAAACGGTTCGAAGTTATGGATAATATTAAAAATGAATGAAGGCCGACGACGGGATGACGTTAAGCAGCAATCATAACCATAATTGATACAATGGTACGTTATGGAGAGAGGATGAGTGAGAGAGGATTGACAGATAGAAAAGAAAACAAAAAATATGGAAAGAGAGATAGGGATAGAAAATTAAGAAAAATTTAAGATGTTGTCGTAGGCGGAGATTGAAATAAGTTATACTCACGAACGTTCTCATATTGGCAGTGACACGGACATTAGAATGTCCGTATATGGACATGATCGTCGTCAAAACCAACAGACAAGTCATTGACGATTTTGAAGCTTGAAGAAGCTTCCTCTTCATATGAAACAAGTCCATAACATAAAATGGGATGACAAGAATAAAAAAATTGTTGAAGTTGGCTGCAGAAGATGCATTCAACGAAGTGATATGATTGAACTTTGAGGGGCTGGAAGTGAAAGAAACGGATCCGTACGGAAGCAGGCAAATGATGAGATCCATCTCACTCTTACTAGTTAATGCGAAAAGAGCGATTATTAAGAAAAATCATATTATATGGAGGGATGAGGAAGAAAAGATAAAATTAGTCGGTGAGCGGAAGGAATGGGTGAGCTTCATGATAAAGTCAGATAAAAAAAGAAAAAAAGCAGAAGATGAGAGTAATTATAAGATGCAAGAGAATCCTATATGGAATGCTGGAGAAAATGAACGTCATCAATGGGTTGGCGTCAAAACAAGCGAAAATGAAGTAGAAAAAGCTAAAAAATGGAGAGAAGCAACGGAAGCGAGTGCTCTGATTATGACTGGCCGCAGAGTACAGATTGAGAAGGGCAATTATGGTTGACAAGGCGCACGGGTTGAAGTTGGAGAATAGGAAGGGAGGGGGGGGGTTTACTGAGAAGAATTGGGAGTAAGTGTAATGCTAGGCGTTAAAAGAATATGCATCCTATTGGCTGATGATCATCAGAAAGATTTCTCATCCACTACTACTGTCTTCTATTTACTTGTTGGGAATGCTGAGCATCCATCCCAACATTCATATACTATATACCTCTCATCCTCTCTGTTCCCTCTCTTTCCCCCTCTCTCTCTCTCTCCTTTCCTTATATGTATACATATAGTATATATTTAAAAATATAATTAATTGAATGTCAACAATCAATAACATAACGTGATGAACTTCTCTAAATAAAAAAAATGATTTTCTCCCTTTATTATTAAGGAAAACAAGTTTTCCACCCCGATTGATTTGAAATTTTTTTCAAATCAACCGTCATCTACGTCATTGCACGCGGAAATGAGAGGAAGTGTGTAGTGTGACGTACTTCACGTGAAGCTTTACGTGAACAAATCGAGTGATGCTATGACCATTACAAGGAAACTGGTAAATCAATTTTTGGTTTTTATTTCGACGAGAAAGAAAACATTCTTTTAATGTTTTTTTTTTCTTTTCTTCAAAAAATAAACAAATGAATGTTATTGAAGGATTGACAAGTTAACACAGAGGA